GGGAACTCAAAAAAGCTAATTATGGGAACTTGCTGCACAAAGGGCTGTTTAGATGCAAGTGTTTGCTTAATATTGATGTTTTTCTACCACAAAACACTTATTCTATACATACCTCTAGACTTCTTGATTCTCTTCTTAATGCTTTCACCAACCCAGCTGTGGTCACAGAATTTAGTCCCCAGGAAGCCTGAAGGAAGATGAAGGGCCCTTGGACCTAATGAAGTTACTGAATATATCCCGAGAGTTCCATGGTGAAAGAGCAAGCTCTGCCAGGTTAAGCAGGTTTCTTTTCCCAGTCATTTAACAGATAGTTATTGAGTACCCTGCCTTTGCAGTGTTCCCTAGTGAGGAAGCAGGAGGAAAAACAAACATTTTAACAGTTGATTTAATTGATTAATTTTAATTTGGATTAGAGCTTAAGGGAAACTGAATCCTCAAACAGAGCCACTCTGGAGAAGATCTGCATTGTTTAAGCTGCATAGAATAGGTATATGGGAAAAAGTGGAGCTGACCCCTAACAGACAAGAAATTGCCCACGCAGAGAGAGAAGTAGAGGAATCCAGGCCGAAGAAACTGTGCTCACAAACAGGCCAAATTGAAGAAGAGCTGAGTATTTTGGGGAATTGAAGACTTCTTATGAGCTGGACAGAAAAAGGCTACTCCGTGGGCAAGGCTGGTGGAAGCTTCTTACCTATTCTCTCAAACCACTTATTCCAGCACACCCCCGAGCCTTTAGTATGCTAACGTTATAAAGAGGCTCTAAGAGAAGGAGCAAGAGTGTACTTCCTCCAAAATTTAAAGTCAAATCTCAAATCTCCAGGAGACTAATGCTCCCCCCTCAAACCATCCCCAATACTCTGGGACATGATCCTCTAAAGTGCTGATTGTTCTATTAGTTCTGATTGTTTCAAGACACAGGTGATTTGAAAAGTGCATCACTATTCATTCTCTCACAAGGCCTGACGCCTCAGTTAATTATTCCGAGTGTCTGCCATGGCTCCCTGAAATCTGGCATGTCTCATTTGCAAAGGAGATTTCCACAGGACAGGCTGGTGTCTGAGCCCAGGCAAGTCAGTTACAAATTCAAACTGAACAGAGACTGTGAAAACTTGATTTTTTAAATGGTTACATTCAACAATGATAATCACCTATCATTTATATCCTAGGCCAAAGACAGGGAAAATAACTGAAATACAGACTTGAAATAAGAATTAGTCCTTAGCAGAAAAAAAAAAATTATTTCCCTTTATATTTAGATTTTAGCATCTAATTGTGTATTTCTTTTTATTGCTACTTTGTAGAAAAAGACTTCAAATTGATCTCATTATTTTTTGTACTTTAATAATGAATAGTTTAATTGGTACACGGGAGAATACTGGACTGTTTACCTTTAAGATATTCCTAGAATCTTAAATCACTGTTGTCCAAGATATACTATGCACTTTACACCCAACTGGCTAGCTAATGAGTTACATTAGATAATCACATAAATGAAGAGTAATTTTTATCAAAACAGTACAGAATTCTTCAAAGGTATTTAAAAGTCTTTTAAATGAATATTTAAAAGTCTTTTAAATGAATCTATGGCATCGCTACCATCCCCCTCTTTCTTTAAATAAGCATTTCATACATGCTTGCAAATGATACTATGAATGGCATGATCCTCTTCCCCCCCACCCCCCACTTCTGACACCAAAAATTCAAAATCCAATTAGACACATGCTGTTATTCCACATTCAAAACCATCTCTGAAACCAGGAGTAGCTGTGTATACATTAGGGATGGAGGTTTGGGCCCAGTTCAACTCGCCGTACATCTTCATTTTCCCAGTAACACAATCTATAGCCAACTGCTAACCAAGTCAATATGTGGTAAGACTAACAGCCACCCTAACTTGACTTGATAATTATTCTCCTTTAACTGACATAATATTCAATATACTGTTGTTGAGAGCAATAATGCTAAAATTGATGCCTTGAGGGCTACAAGGCAATTGAGTTTTAGCCAGATAAAATGACTTGTACACTAATAGTGCATTATAGGGTTTCACAACCTATAGATGCACTTTTTATAGTCTACTTATACAAAAATGTCATATATAATTATATTCTAAGGCATTTGTGCATGTTTTATCATTACTACATATAATTTAAAAATATTGACCAATAGTCAAATAACATTGCTTTAGAGAAAAAGGGTTTATTTGTATAGTCTAGCTCTTGTTTTGAGGAATTTATTTTATTATTTTTTTAAATGAGCATTTTCTCACTACACAAGTGATAATAGTTTTGTGTTCTCTGACTTCTTGCTTTTTTCTAAGCAAAGAACTGTTTTTCTCCAAAGGAGTATGTCGATAATAAATGCTGAATAACAAAAAGCATCATTTAAATAAAATCTATTTTATATCAATTCTATCAATAAACAAGACAGGAACTAAACCTAGTGTTCCTCTAATGTAAAAATCATCTATGGTTTTCTCAAAATGTCAATTCTAGACTCTGAATGGAGAAATAGATTAAATTTAAGACTTTGTCAAAATGCATGTTAAATTTAATGAAAATTAATCATAATTTAAGTATAACAGAAAATGACAGTGCTCTTTATACGCAATACTTGATCTCAATAATAAGAGATTTTATAAATGGTTAGTTTGTGGTTTTGGTTAATTTTTTTCACATTAATTTCTCTTGCAATTTTGTATCTTTAAAACCTGAGCCCTTATAAAAAAGTGAAATATGGAGTATTCTATGCTTGCCTTACAGCTATGTTGGAATTTTTTTTATGGGGGGGATTAACATTTCTAATAATTTCAAGTGAAGCAAAAAATAGGTACCAGTCAAGGCAGAACATTAGGACCACACCACAGAACATCCAAAAGGTTTGATATTTACTGACAACCAAGTGCTGCAGTAACTGGGTTGTTGCAAAGAATCACAGTCATGCAAATATCTATTTGTTTGGACAGGGAGATACCATGCATATGCTCCACATAGCTTAGGCAAACATAAACATGTAGAACTGAAATATGGCATTGATGATCAAACAAACAAGCATCGAAGTGAAAGCAAAAAGGACTATACTTGATTGGGGCAAAATACTTCAGTAAATACAGGAAAAGGTGCTGAACCTAGCTAACAGTTCCATTCCACCATTTGCAAGAGGTTTGTTCTTTTCTGTAGGAAAGGGGTAGGGAACGTCTACAAGGGTTGTAGAAGGCTCCTGAAACCATTTGGTCTGGCCCTGCCAAGGCATTAAGGGTGAGCTAATTAAATGTCTGACCAAATACAGCAGACTGGTTTTTAAGTTGATAATTTTGTATGGCCCATGAATGATGTTATAAATATCCCTATGGCCTTTGGCAGAAAAAGGCTCCCCACCACTGTTGTAGGACAGAATCAATCCAAAATGGACATTAATAGTCACGTTGTGGAAATGTCTGCAGAAAGACTTGGCCCAGATGTGTCTTGAGGCAGCGAATCAGGGACCCTTAAACTGGCCTCATGCTTTGCTTTTCCTGGCCCTTCCTCCTGGAACTTGTGCCCCCTCAGTTCCCCTGACCACCCAGGACTTAACTTTCCACTCGCCCCACTGAAATGTCCCCATCCTGAGGCAAAGGAGAGAATGCTTGTGAAAGTCTCCTGTACACTGAAAATGTAATATATGATTATTCCTATTAGCATCATTCTCTCATCTTCAGAAGGCCACATTTTCTGTGCCTTCCAAGTTGACATCTCACTAAATGAAAAAATATGATTCTCTGCCTCCTCTAGCAGTCCTCGGCGCAGAAAGATTATCCCACTTCTCCTCTTTCTCTAAGCTCACTCACCACCCCTCCCCGGCTCTCCTGCCCTGGCTAACACCTGGGGGGACCACACAGGAGAATGACAGGAATGTGTGTTTCGATGCCAGGTTACAGCAAGGAAAGACTCCTGGGAGGGCCCCTGCTCCTCACATACCAAGCTGGCAGCCGGGGCCCTGCACACAGCACAAGGTAACTCAGGGAATAAACAGGCTGGCAGAGCCAAAAGCAGTTCTTTTGGAAGGGCTCAGTTCTCCTGGTATTATCCCCATAGGAAATTTCAAAAGTCACTTCAGAGTCTACCTTTTCCACTCTGCTCTGCTCTGGCAGGAGGGAGAACGTCTTTATCATCCACAGAGTCTTTTTGGGTCTGGGGTCTCCCAACATGCTATTTTCAACCACTTATCCTTCAAGGGTCGTAGGAAGACAGATGGCCATAAAACACATTTCAGAGGGAAAGTACACAATGCAAAAACCACTCATAAGTGCAAAATAAGATGAGAGGGGGCATGGAGGCTGGGGGAGGGGGAGGAGAAGAGCTTTAAGATCTACTGACACAAAGAGGGGGTTCGGGCTGGAAGAGCAGGTGCTACAGAGGCCAAATCTACGAGCGCGCCCGCATGTTTTGGAGTGTGAAGGTTGACTGGTTACAAAAGTGGGGAATTTATAGACATTACAGTTCTCCCTTTGATTTGGACGAAGAAGCAATAATTAGTTCGGGTGCACAGACAACCAACAAAACACCAAACCTACAAATTAAGGGTGAGAACAAGCCTTCCTAAACCCAGATGAAATGTAATCTCGGATTTCCACTCAGGCATCACCCACCTCAAAGAGCCCTCCCCTGGCATAGGGCTGCAGCAAGACTTGCTGGAGAAGCCAGGGCGCTCGTGGTGCAGAGAGAGAGAGAGAGAGCTGGATTCAAAAAGAGGCCAACAAGGCAACCCTAGGCAACAGGCCACTGTTTCCTTCCTAAGGCACACCACCGGAGCCTGATGTCAGCCCGCTGGGACATCACTCCTTCTTTCCAATTCCCCCGCAAGCCTGCCAAAAGCACCGTTTTTAACCAGGAGAGGGTGTGCCTGCCTGCCTGCCTGGGACTGCGGGAGGCAGGAAGGAGACCAGGTTTGTTTGCCAAGGGCTTTCACCCAACCCCTCCCAGAGCTGGCCACAGACGCCAGCTTCAGCGTCCTCCCCCTACCTGAAGGATGTACCCCCGGACGTAGTCCCGCAGCGTCCAGCCCAGGCCGTGCAGGATGTGTAGCACCTCCTCCTGCTTCAGGACACTGAAGAGCCGGTCCAGCAGGATCTTTAGCCGCACGGGCACCGCCTGTGTCCCGTAGAGCATCAGGCTGCTGATGTCGAACACCACGTTGGACTGCACGATCTCCACTTGCGTGGGGTGGTACAGGTGCTGGGTGCTGAGCTTATCCAAGGCTGCGGCGGTCCCACCAAGGTTCCGGAGGTGGATGGGAATAAAGAGACAAAGGGAGAGGGCAGACAAAGCAGAAACAAGTTACTGGAAGTTATCAGGGCTCCATTTCCAAGGCTTGCAGGTCACCACAGAAAAACCACAGGAGTCTTTTTAGGCAAGAGTTTGCAAAGTAAATAGTTCTCTTCCCACCTCCTCCCTGTTTTTGTTTATACACTGCAGACTGCAAAAGATAGTGAGAAAACACAAAACGTGTAGTATTCAACTTTCAGAAAGAGAGCCACTGAGGATGTTTCTAAATGGCTGTGGCTGATTCTCTAAACCAGACTAATTAATTTGCTAACTGAATTATGGTGCAGCCGAAGTTATCATGGTGTCCTCCCTTCCCCCACCAAAGAAAAAACAAACAGCTTCCACCTTATGTCCTAAGAGCAGGCTCAACCAATATCACTTTAAAAAATAAATTCCACCCCTTATAAAACCTGAACGGTTTAAAGAGGAAGTGAAGTGTGTTCTTCAGAATACTGAGGCCTAAAAGACCTCATTTAAAAGGAAAGCTGACATCAGAGTAGGGCTCTCAAGTTAAATTACTAGCAAAGGGAGATTATCCAGAGACTTGGGTCTCCCAATTTTACCTCTTGCTATTTTCACCTGTGAGATTTAGTTTAGTGTTCACTGGCATGTTCTATAAAAGTTACCCAGGAGAAACAAAAGCCATAATTTAGTCATCTTTTAAACAGCCCTGACCAGGATTTAGTGTCAAATGAAAATGGAAAACAATGACTATAATCAAAGTTTGAAAATTTCCGTGAATTTCAGCTGTGTTACCTCAGTACACAAAACGAAAGGATGACCATTTTCAGAGTAAGCATTTTAATTAAATTAATATCTCAACTAATTAGGCCTTTTCCTCCTCAAATCTAAGAAATGATCTCTCTTCCCTAGATGTTAAAGCCAAGATAAGATCATACATTCCAGTCCCCATCCTTATCTGAGTGACTGGGAACCCTATTGCAAATAATATAATTATATTTTTCCTCAGTTTCTTCAAAGTGAATAATTAAGATAGCATTGTCTTCTATCCAGGGCTCAAAGAGAGGCTGCTGCAAAGATTAATGAGATAATGAATGAGAGGTGCTTTGAACTCCTTAAGAGGACACAAAAGCGTTAGATCAACTGTAAGAATTATACACATAGGACCTCCTGGGGATTAAAACAGATAAACACCTAAGCCTGAAAAGATGGCCATCTAATCTCTTGAGTGAGGGCAGTGGCTTTCAGATAACAACATCCAGGCTCAAATCCTAACTATACCTGAGAGTACAGTACCCAATGTTTCTGCAAGTTCTAAACCCCTGCCTGGCCTTTCTCACCCACCCTTCCCTCCCCCATCTTAGCCCATAATGGTGTGTGCTGTATTGTATTGTACATGTGCACTCTATGTAACGCTTATTTTAATATACCAGTGTCTCTGCATATTAATGCAGGTACTTAAAAGTGCATGCACACACACACAGTTTTTACTTATTTGAAATGTAGTTTTTCAGGGCTCCTTCTCCACTCTAGTTTCCTCCTGACTTGTGGTCACTAGAGAGTTCATGTACTCTTGATAAATTGCTTTCTTACATCCATAGTGTAAAGGCCCTTATCATTTACTCGCTGGCTTCATTCAACACATTTACTCCCAGGAATACTTTGTCAAAGAGTTCAGGTTTTCTCATACTTCATTTCTTGCAGTTGATTTGTCTGATCTTTCCTATTCTAGTGGTTGAGTCAACTTTGAATAAATAGCCTTAAAAATTAATTTAACGTCTGGGAAAGATAAGGGATTCACAAGCCTAGGGATTGAAGACTTCTCTCACCCCATAGGGCATTTAGACTGCAAAAATGCAGGAAAGAAGTATTATTATCCCTGTTCTTCTTCAAGAACAGCTTAACTACTCTGCTGAGTGGCTGCTCTGCTTCCAGAATCCAGTGACCAGGTCAGAGAAAACCTGCTCTCCAATTCTCTTCCATCAACCCTCGTGGCCCAAATCAATCACTTCATCACAAAGTACTCTGCTTACACACAACAAATAGGAAATCGAGAGGGTTTAGTAGGGAGAATTAAATGACACTAAATCCTGATTTTTGTCCATGTGTTTGGACCTTGTACTTATTGTAGGTTTGTGTACTAATGTGTTTGAAGGCCAGGTGGGAAGCTGTCATATCAGCCCTCTCCCTCCCACTCCTTAAAAACAGCTGACAATTTTTAGAAGATAAAGACTAACCTGCTGAGGTAGAGAAACAAAGAGAAATCTATAATAAAAGCATAATATGATAATTAGACCATATGTCCTTCCAGACGACCTTCAGGATGAAGCTGCGGCAGTGGGGGCCAACCCCTCTGCACAAATACCATGCATTGGGCTTCTAGTTGTTTAGATAACTGAAAGAGCACAGGTGGAATAGTTATGGCCAAAACATTTCCCTAGATATACTTTTGAAAATACCAGAGAGTCAGAGTATTATATGGACATTACCTGATTCTTCTTCATAAGTATGACATATGTCATGAAGTAGGAATTCTATTACAAGCCATAGAGACATAGAACACAGGCCAATGACTTTTTCTGTAAAGGACCAGATAGTAAGTGTTTTTACTTCTTATGGGACTTACATTCTCTTTCCTTACTAACACCTCTGCAATTATGAAAGCAAGTCAGACTGAAACTAATGGGCATGTCTGTATTCCAATAAAACTTTATTTATACAAACAAGCATTTGGCCACATTGAGCTCTGTTATGGAGGATAAAAGGGTGAATTGGATAGGTTTTAAAAATTCAATAACAGATAAGAGTCCTAAGAGTGCAATTTAAGCAGCAATTACCTAGAAGATACGCCATAGACAAAGGCTACAACAATATTAAAATGCCCAGCTTGCAGATATCATCAAATAGGATCTGTCAAATTTCTTGAATGTATCAGTATTTTCTGCTTTATAATTGTCAGGTCATAGTGAGTCACCAAGTTGTCAACAACTTTTGTGGATGTTTAATTGATGAACAAAGAGCAACTGATGATTTTTTAAGTGTCATTAATATCAATAAACTAAAAACTGGACTTCTGCCTAATGTCATGATCTTCCTATGTCTGAATGTGGAGGAGTCAAGTTTGGATCTTAGTAGGGTTAGAAATATGAGTTGGGTCAATGGGATGAAGGCAAGTTAGGGCAAGAATTTTTTCAATGGCATGAAGTAGGAAATGATAGTCACCTACTTCATAGTTTATTAGAGGCCTGGTGCACAACATTTGTGCACAGGTAGGGTCCCTAGGCCTGACAGGTGATCAGGACCCATGGGGCCTTCCAGCTGCTGTACCTCCCTTTGTTCTGTGCCACCCCCTGGTGGTCAACACACATCATAGCAAGCGATCAAACTCAGTCTCCCAGTCGAAATCTGAAGGGGACAATTTGCATATTAGCGCGCGCGCGCGCTCTCTCTCTCTCTCTCTCTCTCTCTCTCTCTCTCTCTATATATATATATATATATATATATATATATATATATGCCTAGCCAGCAGCTAGATTGTCCTGTACCAATGGTATTGTCAAAGTATCACTTTCAAATAAAATCTTAACCCAAAACTGGGTATAAAAAAAACGTAAAAGTGAAGCTGGAGTGAGAATGGATTAGAGAACTTACTCGTTACTCCCTTTTCCTCTTCAACTTGTTTAAGCCTCTCAGTTGGAAACCTAGAGTTCCCAGAAGCATGGTTTGAAAACATATTTTTCTATACAATAAAATGAAATCAGCTGTTTTACCTGCTTTGTACTTATTCTTTTTCCTTCTAGTAAGAGAAACTGAATTTCCTTTTGGGGGAACCATTCTTCCCGTATCTTGTAAAACAGAGTATTCCTTAAGCCAGGCCTGGAAACCAGTACATCCCAGTCGCTTAGCCACAGGGATGGGCAAGTGACCTAGTCTGAACAATGAGGTTGCATCAAGGACTTTTGTTAAAAGTAGTGGGACATTTTTCTCTTTTCTCAAAATCTGAAGCTAGTAAATATATGCTTGAGAACAAAAATCGCCTGGAAGACAGGTGGGATACAGGTGATCTGAGAAATTCCAGGTACTGCCAATGTTGTTTGAACCAGAAGATATGGACATAGTCATTTTGGGTGCTGGACCTTACCTGGAATCTTGGGGTACAAAAACCAACAAACTATCTCTTTTTATGTCTGTTTGGAGTAGAATTCTGTAACTTCTATCTAAAAGAGCCTTGACTTTGGCAATACCCTTTGGAGTTTCCAGCTGGGTACCATGTTATTTCAAAGCAGGTGTCAGAGGTTCAGTAAAAGGTATTTTAGTTCCAGTTCAAATGCAGTTTCACCAATTACTGGAATGAGGTATCCTTAAAATTTCCATATCTTACACAAATTTATAAGAAATTTGATAAAGTACATAAAATAAAAACAATTATGGGGAAATAAAGAAAATGAATCTTCAAGTACTAACTACATAGCATGCATAATTCTAGGGCAGTGGTCAGCAAACTTATTAGTCAACAGAGCCAAATATCAACAGTACAGCGATTGATATTTCTTTTGAGAGCCAAAAACCAACTTCTGAGCATGGGCCACGAAGTTTTAATCACACTGTACATGCGTACCTGCACATGGTATTTTGTGGAAGAGCCACACTCAAGGCGCCAAAGAGCTGCATGTGGCTCGGGAGCCATAGTTTGCCAACCACTGTTCTATATTACAATAATCTCATTTTATCCTCTCAAAAATTAAAAAACACACATTATTACTATTATCACCATATTGGGAGATCACAGACTCAATGTGGTTAAGCAACCAGCCTAAGGTCACTTAGTTATGTCTCCCAAGAAAATTCTCTTTCTACCACATGTTCAGATAAATAGTCAATAAGGAGCTCTGGGAAGTTGGAAATCTTCATCATGTTAGAAATCCCTAACTCCCAGCAATCTGGGCTTCTTGCCCATCACTCTGCTGAAGCA